GGGACAGAACTTCACAACAATCTGCAGGACAAGGAGTGTCCAAATCCACAATTCCTTCCATCCACAATATGGGTGGGGAACATGGGAATGTTTCCCTGCTCAGCACAGAGATCACTGGAATTTCTGTGGGACTTGAGAAAGATTACAAAGCACAACCTGTCCCTATAAAATAACTCCTCCCAAGGTTTCTCTGAGCCAGGCAGGGAATTGGGAACATCATCTTGGAGCTGCTCCTGTTCCCCCCCCAAAAAAAATCCAAGCAAAATAGGAAGGAAGGAGTAGCAAGCACAGCCTAAACCAAGCCTACATCTCCCCAGGGTGGATTTAAGATGGATATTGGGAAAATTCTTCACTGGAAGGGTGGGTAAGCAGTGGAATGGGCTGCCCAGGGAAGTGCTGGAATCACCATCCCTCCTGGAAGTGTCCAGGAAACATAAACGTGGCACTTGGGGATGTGGGATAGTGGTTGGACTTGATGATCTTGGATGTCTTTTCCAACCTTAATGATTCCATGAGGGTTGAGGTGATGGTGTCCCCTGGTCCCACATGGAAATCTGGGGTCTTTTCCAACCTCTGTGATTCCAGGCTGGAGGTGACTGTGCCTCCATGTCCACATGGAAACTTGTTTCTGTCCCTTTGGGGTCACTGTCACTTCCCAAGAAAGTTCTCCCTGCTGGACAAGGCTGGAGCTGAGCTCAGCCCATGGATCAGCCCCATTCCCTGCCTCTCCCAGCTGGATAAGGCTGGAGCTGAGCTCAGCCCATGGATCAGCCCCATTCCCTGCCTTTCCCAGCTCCTGGCACCCCTCAGCAGGACCATTTTGGAAGCACAGCCCTGATCCTACCCAGGAAAGAGCTGGAAAACCACATTCCTGCTCCCAAGGAAGAGGCTCAACAGAAGGGATGGGATGGCTCTCCTGGAATTCCAGGGGAGCCCAAACAGAAGAGCCACAAATTCCTGCTTTTATCCAAAACATCCCACACAGTATCTACAAGAGACAGTGGAGGGTTTGGCCCTTTTCTCCAAATTACTTTAGGCTGATCCTTAATTACCTTAATGTGGGACAACATGGGGCACAGGAATTTTTGGGATGGAAACAAAGCTCCCAAGGAAAAAAAACACCAAACCAGGAGCCAGATGCTTTTTCCAGCTGGAATGCACGTCAGACCATCCCCACTAAATTCATTAGGGAAAAATATCCCAGGAAAACAAGCTCAGCCCTTCCAATCTCATTAACAGATCCATGACTCAGGAGGCAAAGTCCTTCCTACCACCTTTTGGGATCGGCTCTTTATTCCAGAGGTCTCATTAGAGGCCTCTCAGTGGGCATTTTGAAGAGGCAAGAGAGGATTAACCTGCTTAGGCCCAGCTTTAGTCTGAGTTCAGCTTCTTATCTCCGCCCAGATCTAGCGCAGGGAGAGGGAAGGAACAGCCTTTTCCCAGGATTTGGGAGGCTGGTTGTTCCCACCTCTCCGTTCCTGGAGGTGTTTGCAGCTGAGCAATCCCACCCTGCTGACTCAGGGAGCTTGGATGGGGCAGGACCTTCCTTCTCCACCCTCAAATCCCAGGATTGGGCCTTAAATCCCCCTCAGGATGTTTTTGGAAAGGTGTCCCTGGTGAAGCTGCTCAGCGGAGGCACCAACTGCTGGTTTTGGTGGCCCAGGGCTGTGCAACCCCACAAAAAAAAAAAGAAGAAAAAGGACAAAGTTCCCAATTCTCTGGGTAAAAATCATCCCAAAAGTGACTCAACTCACCCTGAAGAGTCTTGAAGCTCCACAGATGGCCCTTGGGGGAGGGTTCCTTTGGTCTCCTCCTGGAATATATTGGGAAAGGTGACCTGGAACAGGTATCCCAAGAGCAGCATCGTTCCCAAAAATCACCCAGCCCCTCACCCTGCAACCGTTTTCCCCTTCCTTGGCCTCCTTGGCTGGAAACCAGGAGCCCAAACCATCCAAGATTTTCCAAGCTTTGAGGTTTTTCTGGGGTTAGGAAATCCCTGCCTTCCTTCCAACACCACCATTAAAGTATTTTATGGAGTAAAAACCCGAAAGCTCTACCCCTCCCCAACCACCTGCTCCTTGGATGCACTGCTGGGATAGAATTCCAGGACTAACAGGAATGGGATGGTTCCAAAATAAAGATGCATCAAGTGCCAGCTTGGCACTTAGGAGGGGAAATCACCTTTGTAGTAGATGGCAAGAGGGAAAAAGGGGTGGGGACAAAGCCACAGGGTGGGAAACACAAGAAAGGGACAAAATAGAGGGAAAACTGGGATAGAACCTGGAAAAAAATGAGCTCAGAGGGGACACAAACCCTAAAATCTGCCCCTTGGAGGCCACCAGGAATCTTATTTTAATATCTGCACACTTGTTCTCAAAGCTGAAACCAGATTTTTTTCTGCTCCTGACCACACCAGACACCCTGAAACCCATCCCAAGCTCCTCCAACCCTCTCCAAGCATCCAGGCTCTCCATAGAAATTCCGCCTTCCCGAGTTTCTCTTTCAAAGGAAACCAAAACCACAGAGGGATTTTTCTTGAAAGCAGCTGCTGGGTGAACTCATTAAAGGGGGAATCAAAACCTCAGTTAATTAGAGGTTGGTTAGGACAACGTAAACTTTCGTTCCCTGGGAATATTCCTGCTCTGGGATTCACAATCCTACAGCTGCTGGCAGGAATCACGTAGGGAAATTCAGGAACGCGCAGCCACGACCTTCCAAAGGAAATCCTGCCTGTGGATTCCTGATGTTTGCACCGGGAACAGCAGGACATGGATCACAGCCCCCCCCACCCCAGGGAGGTTTTTCCAGGCTGTGGTTCCAGTTTTATCCTGCCAGGAAAAGAGTTTGCTGACATTTTAGATCCTTTTTGGAAAAAAAGCCTCTCTGCTGGTTTTCCACAAGAGGACAAATGGGAATTGTTAATGTGGGCAAAGCAAAACGTTGTAGGAATTAGCCAGGATCAGCCAAAAATCATGGAATGGTTTGGGTTGGAAGGAACCTTAAATATTATCCAGACCCAACCTCCTGCCATGGGAAGGGACACTTCCAACTATCCCAGGTTGCTCCAAGCTCTGTCCAACCTGGCCTTGGACACTTCCAGGGATGGGGCAGGAAGCCCAAATCCCTCAGGAAAGATGCTGCAGGATGAGACCAATCCCAGCATCATGCTTGGGAAGTGACAGAGTCCCCCGTGTCCCGGTGCTCCCGGGAAAACACCAAAACATGACTGATCCAACCCCCACGGCCACACAGGGAATTTACTCCTTAATTTAATTCCAGATGCTCCAAAAACAAGGGCTTTCCCACATCCTCAGGCTGTAGGACACCACCATCACAGATCCCTTGGGAACAAACCACGGGAGTGCTCCCAAATCCTTCAGCTCCCAGACCACCACGTACCGAGCACGGGGCAGCTCCTTCCTCAGCTTGGATCCCATTCCACGGGCTCGAGCCAAGACCTTTCCCTCCTGCAGCCTCCTGCTTTAGGGAGCTTCTTGGACACAGAGGAGACAGAAGGAAAACACGATTTTTAGGATCATGGAATGGTTTGGGTTGGAAGGAACCTTAAGATCATCTCATTCCATGGGCAGGGACACCTCCCACTAGCCCAGGTTGCTCCAAGCTGGCCTTGGACACCTCCAGGGATGGGGCAGCCACAGCTTCTCTGGGAATTCCACCCCAGACCCCCCCCTTCCCAGGGAAGAATTCCTTCCCAAAATCCAACTTAAACCCTCCCTCCTTCATCTTAAGCCCATCTCCCCTTGTCCTGTCACTCCATGCTTTTATTTCTCCCATTCTGATGCTCCAGGCAGCACAAGGGAAGCAGAGTTGGACGTGGCATTCCCATAGGATGATCCCAGATGGAGGGAGCAGAGCCCTGGAGATCCCATCTCCTCCCTGGGGGGAGTTCCAAGGACTCACCTGCTGATGACGTTCTCCTGTAGCGGCTTCTCCTCGACCTCTGGTGGTTTCTTCTTCTTCTTTTTCCCTTTTCCCCCTTTTCCTACAGGGAACTTTGCACCAGGATGGAGCAGCGTGAGGGAGAAGGAAGTTCATGCCATAGGGTTGTTGTTTTGGGTTTTTTTCCCCATCCATAAAACTTTTGGGACAGTCACCAAGGTCACCCCAGGAGGGAGAAAGAGGTACCTGCACTGAACATTCCGGCTCCTTCTTCCCAATCTTTGTCCTGAGCTCCTTTGGCACCTCCTGCCCTTTCTCCAACTCCTTCTTTCGCTTCCTGAGGACAAGGAAAAACTGATCCCGCTGAAGCCAAGCAGGGAATACCCACAGCAAACCCCTTAGTGGGGAAAATAATCCATGGTGTGATCCCACACTGCCCAGCCCTGATTTCCAGAAGCACCAAAAAAGGGCTCTCAAAAGGAAATTTAGAGGGATTTTTCTGCTTGATCCCTTAAGGCCTGAAATTCCCAGGAAATCCAGAGTGATCATGTAATGCTGGAGCCCCCCAAAATCCCCTGCCATGCCCCACAGGACCCACCTGCTGCTCTTTTTCATCCCACTATCCCTTGAGACTCCCATGGCTCCCTCATCCAGCAGTTCTTGGCAATGTTAAGGCAGAGTCCTCAAGGATGTCACTGCAACAACAGGGAGACACCCCAGGGCTGGTAGAATCCCAAATTTTCTCCTGGAGTAAACACCAAGAGCTCAACCCCAAAGGGTCAAGCTCAGCTTTAATAAGGACCCAAAGAGACCAAGAAACAGCAAATCCTTGAGTTCAGCCCCTGAGCTGCTCTGGGAGGTGGGAAAAATAAAATTCCTGCTAAAAACAAACAAACAAACAAACAAGGGAAATCCCCCCTAAAATGTGAATTTCAGGAGGAATTCCCAGCTCCTACCACGCTAGAAAATAATTCAGCAGAGCAGAGAGACCCCTCAGCTCTCACCTCCCTTTCCTCGTGGCTGCAACATCCAGACCCTCCCAAATCCCTGCTCCCCATGGAAACCCAGAGGATGGGGGAAATAAGGCTCATATTAAACATCCAGCAGGTCCCAATCCATAGAAAACCTCCCCAGCTGAGGAAAAAAATGGGATTTCTCAACGAAAAAAAGAGCCAAAGCACCGGGAAACATCAGCTGAACTTTTCAAGGACTAGAAAACACTTGGAAAACTTCCATGTTTTCCCAGACTTTGTTGTACCAGGAGCACACAGAGCTGCTGGTGGGACCAAGTTCTTCCCCCAAACCCACCCAGAGTAGGGGAGACCTCACCCAGTCGCCTCCCCGAGGGAAATTCCCTCCTCCAGGAAGTTTACTTA